ATGACTTTAAAGACTGCATTTACTACAGGTTAACCCAGGACTGCTGGTAATTAAGATAACTTTGAGATGAAAGAATAATTTAGTTTACTTTCCCTCTAACATTTACACTGGTGAGTTTTGCATTTTTAATTACTCAGTGCCAGGAGTATCAACCAGGGGTTTTCATTGTAGATAATTACCTGCATTATGTAATGTTTATTTTCATAACGAGAATTATATTCAATTTATTATTATTGCAGTGTGTGTAAATTGCAAATGAACCATATTTACACTACCGGTCAATAGTTTGGGGTCTGTGGGACTTTTAAATGTTTTAAAATGAGCTTCTGCTGCTCACCAAGGCTGCATTTGTTTAATTAAAAATACAGTACAAATTGTAAAATTGTGAAATGTTATTGCAAGACAGAATAACTGTACAAAAGTAGTTTATCATTTAATTGAATCATTTATTCCAGTGATTTTAAAGATGCATTTTCAGCTTCAATACTCCAGTCTTTAGAGTCACATGATCCTTTAGAAATCACTCTGAAATTCATCACTATTATTATTATTATTATTATTATTAAAAGTAATAGTAATAAACGTAATAATGACTGGAGTAATAATTTCATTTGGAACTACAACCAATAAGACAGAAGTATTTAAAGTTTTAATAAATATTTAACAAATTAAAATACATTTTACATTAAATAAACGCTGGCATGATGAACAGAATAATTTTCCTAAAAAAAAGAAAAACATGAAAAAAAAACTGACCCCAACCTTTTGACCGTAGAGTAGTTTATTTTAATAGCTTTATATAAATATATGCTTTAACATTACTTACAAAACATGATGTTATGCCATTACACAGATTACAGATATACACTGAATCTTCAATTACAAAAGTACAAGTCTAAATATGAGGCACACTAAATATCATATCCGCTACTTGTTAGAGTATTTTAATTTGTATGAATCGAATGAACCAAGTCTAACATATCTAAACTGTACTTTATTCTACTATTAGCAAACTCCTGTATTAAAAGCAGTGGCCATAATCTTGTATTACAAAAACAGGATATCAACTTCCTGGTTTCTAAAGTCTAAACTTTACAGTTCTGACAACCATCTGCAGATTCCAAACACTTAAGATGAAGAAAGATGACAAAGACAGTCATTAATTATGATGTAAACTGCTGGATGTGGAGTGAGTGTGTGAACTGAAGAGAGAGAAGCTGCTCATGAACACGCGTGTGTGTGTGAGTGAGTGATGCTGAGTCTGAACTGTTGGCCTGGAGGATGCAGTTAGTCAGTCGGTTGGTCATAACGTTACCTTCCGCCTCGGCATAGCGCTTCTCCACGGCTCCCGATGTACAAGGTTTAATTTCTGCTTGACTTCTTAACGCAGTTAGGTAGAGTAAACCTCCCGAAAGCCACGTAAGTGCCGCATCCCCTTGGAAGAGTAGGAAACATTAATTAGGCATAAGGAAACCGTGTTATCACTGACAGCCGTGGGTCATGACTGCGCGCGTCTGTTTACACTCTCCACTTCCGGTGCAATATTGTAATGTAAAGGTCTCACGGAAAATGATAAACTCGAGGAAGTAGCGGTTATTTTTAAAAGGCGCAGAAAATGTATTAACGGTTAGCTATTTTAAACTGATTACAAATGTTTTTTTGAGTAAAAACACAAAGAATAAAGATATTATTATCATTGTTCAGTTCCTGCGGTCTTACTTTTGTCGCTTGATGGCGACAGTGAGTCGTGATATCAGTGTCTATTTTAAGGTGCTCGTCGGTTACTGCACATCTGAAACCACACATTTCCATCTATTTAATCTTTTGCGACTCATTAAACAAGTGGTTGTTTCTTGTAATCTTCTATAAAACATATACACGTACGTGGTATAAGTATGTATTTAACTGCCTAGGCCTTAAGCCTGATTTATACTTCTGCGTCAGGTGACCGGCGTAACCCACGGCGCAGGCAACGCGCGTGGCTGTGCATTTATACTTCTGCGCGCTGTCTCTGCCGGTCTGCATTAACACTTCCGAAACGCTAGTTGGCAGTGAGGTGTAAATGTTCCTCTGTGTCAAGTTTCTTCGCTACTTTTTTTGCATTTCCTGAACACTTCCGGGATGTACAAGTGGCTCAAACTCGCTCATTTTGAGGCAGGAACCGGCGGACGTGCAACAACTTTAACTATGAGGTAAACACAAAACAAAACTTTCAATCCGTAGCTCCTTCACGGGACTCCACACTTGTAAACAATCGCTCGCGCGGCGTCGCGCCATTCGCGCGCCTCTCGGTCCCGCCCAGACTCGTCAGCGCTACCAAGCCGACCAATCACAGAGCTTATGCTACGCGTCGTTGCGACGTGTAGTTACATTTTTTGAGAGGTGCACGTCAGTGACGGCGATGGCCACGGCGAAGGGCTATGCGTCAGCGCCGTAGCATACGCCGGTGTTTGACGCAGAAGTATAAATCAGGCTTTAGTGGCCACATACGTGGTCAGCATTTTAGCTCTTATGTCTTATGTTTTGTTACAGACATACAGTGACATCCTGCAGCTGTTTTGCAGCATACGAAAGGTCCAAAACACTATTTTAACTGTCCAAAATGAGATTTTTTTTGTACTGATAGTCAAAACATGTTCAAAAAAGTATGTGTGTATGTTTTATTAATGCATTAAAAAACAGTCAGGAAAAAGCTGCTGTGTTCAAGGCAGAAATAGTTTTTCATTTTGTTACACAAAGGTGACTTTATTGTGTTTTATGGAAATTCAGACCACAAGTCCACATATATGGGCATCATTTTTCTCTAAAAGTACATCATATCAAAAGATGATACTTAGGTTTTATTCTAATTAGGTTCCAATAAGCTCAAATAGCAAAGAGAAATAAAACAATGCATGTAAAAAAACAGCTTGGGCCTTAAGAGGTTAAGTTGCATAATTGTTATGTATGCCATATAGGTTTAAAAAAAAATAATAATAAATTATTAACAATGTTTGAACAGTAACAGAATGGCATTAATACTTTTTAAAATTACACAAAAGACTGGGATAACAATCAATTTACATACATTCACAATCTTTCCATCCTTATTAATAATAAAACATAAAATAACAAAAAATAAATGATAAAGAACATTAAGTAGCAGGGGAGTTAAAGTTCTCAAATTATGAAACCAAAATCCTCTAATTACGAATATAAATATGTGCTTTTTGGCATTTTTTAAAGCTCTCTTAATGTCTTAAAATACATCACAAATTCTTATTTAATCACCACTAGTTCTGGGAGAATAAAAAAAAACATTTACAAATATAGAATTTGAATAATAACATCAAATTATAATTACATAAGAAATCTTTTATCGTTAAGTATTGGGCCAAACTTAATCATTTCCCATGACAAGACAAGTCTTCAATCTAATACTTTGTCTCAAAATCTTTGTACCTGATTACATTGGAAAAACAAGTGTTCAGTTGTTTCAATATCTAAATTACAAAATTGGCATACATTTTTCACCAATATTGAATTTTAACCTTAGAAATTCTTTTGCAGGATAAATGTGGTTCATAATTTTAAAGTGCACTTCTTTACATTTAGGATTAACAGGACATGAAAGAAATCTTTTTCTATGCCATCTGACATAAGTTCTGCGTATTAATGCATCGCCCAATTAGAAACATAAGCTGTATTTAACTGCAAGCTCAGTTTAATTGATATGTGATTGTTATTAAGGATTACCAAACTACTTGCTTGACCTTTTAAGTAAGAGCTTTTTTTGCTTTACATTGATTCTTTCTCAGCGCAGAATTATTTTGACATTTTCTTTAGTATTTCTCTGTAAGCACAAAACATTTTACCTTCATAAAGAGGAGCAAGTAAACCTGTCATTAAACAGCCTATTATAGGCTTTTCATCTAAATTTAAAACAAGTTACAAAACACAAAACAATCATTGAGCACAAAAATATAAAATGTAACACAATAACATCTAAAATATAATAACATTTGTTTATACAGTATATATATACACACATACACAGTTGAAGACATAATTATTAGCCCTCCTTTGATTCTTTTTTAAATATTTCCCAAATTATGTTTAACAAAGCAAGGAAATGTTCACAGTATGTCTGATCATATTTTTTCTTCTGGAGAAAGTCTTATTTGTTTTATTCTAGAATAAAAGCAGTTTTTATTTTTTTAAACACCATTTTTTAAGGACAAAATTATTAGCCCCTTTAAGCAAAATGTTTTCCGACTGTCTTCAGAACAAACCATCAATAACTTGCCTAATTACCCTAACCTGCCTAGTTAACCTAATTAACCTAGTTAAGCCTTTAAATGTCACCAAGCTGTATAGAAGTGTCTTGAAAAATATCTATGAAATATTATTTACTGTCATCATGACAAAGATAAAATAAATCAGTTATTAGAAATGAGTTATTAAAACTATTATGATTAGAAATGTGTTGAAAAAAATCTTCGAAATAAGGGAAAAAAATAAACGGGGACTAATAATTCTGACTTGAACTGTATATATATATATATATATATATATATATATATATATATATATATATATATATATATATATATATATATATATGAAGAGTTTAGATGCAAAACCTCTTAATGCCATATGAAATTTTCCTCTAAAATGAGCATTTTTATCAGGATCTTGTGTAGATTCAATAATATTATGGCTATGGCAAAGAATTAGTCTTTTTCCTGTTCTATAAAGTATAAAAAACCTAACATAAACAAGGAAGGCTGAGAAAAATGTTCATCTTCGATGGAAGTTTAAGCATCTGAACTCTGCATACACACAAATACAATCTATGAACATATTTTTATATAACCCTTTTATCTATTTCTGTTGTGAAAGTTGTATTATTCATGTAAAATAATGTGTTATAGTAACGTTTTATATATATATATATATATATATATATATATATATATATATATATCACTAGACATTCGCCAATCAAATAACACATAAAATTGAAAACACATATAAATAAACATACATTAAATACATGTGCTTAATTTGCATAAACACATGATCAGATTGAGTTTTTATCACATTTATCAACTCAAAGTTTAATGGGCTTTCATCCTGCGGTACGCATTTGCTAGTGTGCTTATGCAGTAAGGTACAAAACTGATTGTAGTTAGAGGCACTGTGGCACTCTTACAGAAAGACAGCGTGTAGAAGAGAGCATGAGTGCTGGTGGGTGGTCTGAACGAGTCTAAGAGGCTCAGCAGGGGCAGGGTTGCAGCTGTACAGGTCAGTCTGTAAAAGGCGCTGTTTCCACAGTTCTTATTTTTTTGCAAATCACCATGAGTAGGCAAATGGAGGCTCAGTCCCAGGCCGAACAGGGCCCCTGTGTTGCGGAGGAGGCCAGCGAAGGGTGTGGTGTCCAGATGGACCCATTCAGATTGAATACACCACTTCTGTGCCTTCATTAGGCTCCAGTAGGGGTCAATTGAAGCAGCATCCAACACCGCATAAAGCCCCAGCGCAACAAACACCAGACAGAGGATGGTGTGCATGTAACCCTTCAAGCTGGCTGAGTAGATCCAGGACACTCTGTTGAAAGCTTTGGCCACTGCAATGCCTGTAGTGAGAGTGAATAATTATTTTATGCTGATAACAAACTAAGAGAAGTAACAGATGATTATTATTCTACTGATAAAACGTCTCTTAGGCTCATCAAGCTTATTTTATCAAAACAAAAGCAGAAACAGTAAAATCTTGAACTATTATAACCTTTATTAAATGATACCTATTATCTATTTTAATATACGTTTGAGAATTATTAAATGATTAAATCCTGGAAAGCTCAGTTTCAGCATTATTACGCCAATCTTTAGTGTCACATGAATTTGCAGAAACTCTAATGTGCTGATTTGATGCTCAGTTATGATTATACATATTGTTTATAACATGCATAACTATGATATAGTGATTTTCAGCAATTAAATTAATGAAGCCAATAATGAAAGCACGTACAGTTTTATAAAATAAGCCATTCTTTTTTTCTTTTATAAACCAAATATGCTCTTTTTCTTTCCAAAATGTCTCTTCTTCATTGTTTTCTCAAAAATAACCTTTTATTAGGGATGCACCGATATGGAATTTTGAGCCGATATCGATAACTGATAACTCTTAAGACTTGGAGGCCGATAAATATTAGTATTTCAAAATGGTATATTTTTATACAGCGAACAACTGATTTTATTTTTAAGAACTTCATAAAAGTTTGAACTGATCTTATAAACTGAATAGCCTACTCAGTTTCAAAAGGTGATTATATAGACCTATATTCACGATTTCACATAAATCAGCATACCAAAAATAATTTAATAACTTAAAAATGAATACTTGACTGTTGCAAAGCAAAATTATGTGAAAAAGGTGCAGTATATTTTGCAACTGACCTGAAAAAACTCCAGTAATGACCTGATGTGGGAAATGAGCAGCAATGAAGACTCGAGAAAGACTGACACACACCTGCACACTCCAGAAAAAAGCCCAAAGAAGAGCCTGCAAGCACCTACAGTATATGGCACAAGCACATACGATAGAGCAAAGTTGTTAATATTAAAAAGTAAAGCAATGATCAGGTCTTTCATTGTTTTTTCAGAATACTTGAGTAATGGGCCCATCATCCACCCAAAAATAAACTGCCTGTGTACAATATTCAACCTGAAGCGAGGAAAAAACAGATCTAAGATAAATGAGCCCACAAGTACTAATGAGGAATTTCCTTTTGCGGGGGCCCAGCCTGCAAAGATACTGTTGTTCATGATATGATTTGGTATTCCTGAGACAAAGCCCGCATATGTTCCTTCCTTCCTCTTTATATCAGATATTGTTAAGAAGGATTTCTTGTTGCTTAAGGGCATTTCCATGCATTCATTCAGGTATTCTTTTATAAATGAAGTCCTACTCAATACTAGATTAAAAGGAAGTGGGAGGATAAACAGAACAGAGTCCTTCACCATCTTTTCAGAGGGTCACACTCCTTGAAATTCAGCAGCAGTGACGTAACCATGGCATAGTAGACCCCTGCAGCGCCCATTGCATGTCCCGAGGGGCTTCCTAGAAGAGCGGACAGAAAGCACTGTGGAACCTGCTCTTGATTTAGTGTTCTGGCTGCTCTGTGCAAATAAAATGAGAAACATCAGGAGAGACTCACCAGGGCCGGTCTCACAGGTCATTGGGAACTGTTTAATTTGTGGTACAGTCAAGTTGCCATAATAAACAGTTTCTCTCACCCACCAGTAAGGTCTCTCGCCAAACATGAGCCTGTTTAATCAATTAAGACAATCTGATTAGAACAAACTTTTTAAGTATAAATACAACACACGGCTAAATAGATGTTCAGTTTTGAGACTATTTGTGATTTTGTTTTGCCATTGGTTATATAATCTTTTATTAAGTCTTCAACTCTGAATGCTTTTATTAAAAAGGGATTTTCATTCTTGAAAATGAAGGTTGAAAAGCTGTCACTGTAACACTTTACAATAACAATACATGAATAATGATGTGTTAATATGTAAACTTAACATTACTTTATTATGAACTTATAAGGATGAGTTAATGCATGTGCTAATCATGAACTAACTTTAACTACAACATCACTCACATGAGTTCATGTGTGAATATTAGCTACCTTCATTACTTGTTAGTACATGCTTGTTTGCAAGAGCGGACTGAGACAAAAATTCAGCCCCACCCACAGACACGCACATTCACTACTTATATTGGTGTACAGGTAGAGAAATAATATAAGCAGTACCATATGTAATAGATATTAAAAAATTAATGAACGTGGCTGGAACAAAAACAACCCGTTGTCATTCTCTGCCCCTCTACCTAAGCATTAAATACATAATGTAACCTCTGCATGTATTTAACGACTAGCTATTCAGAGTTTACTACAAATGCTTACAGTACTATGGCTAAAGCTATAGGTTATTTTGCATATATTAATGCAAAATAACCTATAGTTATATATTAACTATATTGCTAGTACAGTAGCACACAGCAGTCTGTATACAAAACCCATGTTATCTGCTGAAAATTACGTTTTTTAAATGTACGGGAGTTCTATGCTAGCTTTCTGTTAAGCACAGTTTATGTTGTCAAAAACTGTCAGAAGTAGTGTGAATGATGTCAAAATTACTTTAATTATATTTTAGTATAATGACTTATTTTCTGTTTTCTTACTTCCTCTACCGCGCTTCTGTCCTCCGATGCAGCAGCCAAATTTAAACCTTTCAGAAATATTTCAGCATCTGATTTTAGAGCCCTTTTTTGCTTTCTTTGAACTTTTCGGCTTCGTCTTTCCTTTTCCGCTTACTGCTTGTTTAATATTCTTGCCGGATTTTGATTATGATTGCGTAACCTTTGATTGGGTCGGCCCCTCTCAAAACTAGTCGGCCGCCATCGATCGGGCCAAATGCTTAACATTTAATTATTATTATTATTTTTACTATGGCGAAGCAGTGGCGCAGTAGGTAGTGCTGTCGCCTCACAGCAAGAAGGTCGCTGGGTCGCTGGTTTGATCGTCTCAGTTGGCGTTTCTGTATGGAGTTTGCATGTTCTCCCTGCGTTCGTGTGGTTTTCCTCCGGGTGCTCCGGTTTCCTCCACAAAGACATGCGGTACAGATGAATTGGGTAGGCTAAATTGTCCGTAGTGTATGAGTGTATGTGTGAATGTGTGTGTGTGGATGTTTTCCAGAGATAGGTTGCGGCTGGAAGGGCATTCGCTGCGTAAAAACTTGCTGGATAAGTTGGCGGTTCACTCTGCTGTGGCGACCCCGAATTAATAAAGGGACTAAGCTGACAAGAAAATGAATGAATTAATGTATTATTACTATCATCATCATTATATTAATATTCACATGTTGCAAGAGATAAAAACTGCATGCATGTAAAAACAATACATATTAAGAAATATATATTTATATATATATATATATATATATATATATATATATATATATATATATATATATATATATATATATATATATTTTAACTTACCGGCCCACATTTAAAAAAGGGTTCGGCCCTTCTGGCATTTGCTAGAATTGCCAATGGCCAATCCGCCCCTGCTTGTTTGTTGATTAATGCATTAGTTTATGCTTAATTTAACCATCATGAACTCATGATATGTTAATTTATAATAATATCATGACTTTACTTGTAGGGGCACATCACGATTAACCAATTCTTAACTACTCCTTATGCACGTCCGTCTAGTGCGTTTACACTGAATATGAATAAAAAAAGTGTTCTGTCAACATCAACAGTTTAAACCCAGGAGTTCATGATGATGATGTGCTCCTCCAAGTAAAGTCATGACATAATTAAGCTCATGAGTTCATGTTTAATACATTTTGCTTAAACTTAAATGAAATAATGTTACTTAGGTGTAACTATGTATTAAATATGATAATAAGTGTATTAACAACATGTACTAAAAAGTAATTAAGGTAGCCGTTGTTGCGACATGTTTCATGTTAGTTCATGATTAGTCCATCCCTTATCATTAGTATTATAATAAGGTAATGTTTAGTGTACATATTAAAACATCATTATTTATGTACTTGTAAGAAATGAGTCTGCCTCGACCCAACTTCCACTCTAAATGGTGAATTGATGCTCATTTCCCAAAAGAGCTGACTTATGAGAGAAAAGAGAAGTCAACAGGGTCTTGTCTCTGCATTGTTTGAGGTGACTACATCTCGACCAAATGGTAACAATTGTAGAATGGGGATGGGTGTGGTGCACAAAGAACCATCTCATCAATGGTGTTGAAACTGCATTAACATGGAGAGATAGGGAGAACAGCTGGGTCAACAGCCAAGGAGCAACTTCATTAACATCTAAAGGCAACATCAAAAACAGTATAAAGGTTTGAGTTTAGGAATGTTCAGGGTTCATTCTGACTCCGGTGAACCCAAGGTACTGCCATGTATTTTGAGACTGCTATGCTGAATAAACATCTTCATTGAGATTTTCTTCGTCATCTTCATTTTTTCTTACATACTGTTATTGTAAAGTGTTACCGCTGTTACTGGAGCAATACAAAAGGCTTTTTACTGTAGGCTCTAATATGTGACCTAATTCTACTGTGCATAGATGACAATACCTTTAAAGGAATAGTTCACCTATTTTTATTTCCTATTTTTATTTTATTTCCTCATCATTTCCTCACACTCAAGTGGTTTTAAACATAACGACACTAACATACATAGTAAAAACTTAAAAAAATAGTTTTTTCAACATTCTTCAGTATATCTTCCTTTGGGTTTAACAGAAGAAAGAATGAGTAAATGACAACATTTTTGAGTGAACTATCCCTTTAAAGGATCCTTTAGAAACAAAAGGCATGTTATGATTTTTCCAAGTACAATGCAATCCTAAATCAACATCCATGTTAATCCTGGACCAAAATTTTTGTTGGAAATTGTAATCCATACCTATTCCCTTCCCCTAAACTAAACCAGAACTGTAAATCCTTCCCATCAGAGGGGAATAATAGTTGGATAACAATCATGTAGAAGTGCCTAAACCTAACTGTAAAACGTCACATAAACTGTATATGCATCCCTTAATTCTGATTGGAATGTTGTTACAGGATCAACATAAATTTTAATATAGATACATGTCCTACTTAGTGAAATTAGGTTAACAAACACTTACCACTTAAGAACTAAGTTGAGCCAGTCTCCTACAACAGCAACCCAGACTAGCTTGACTCCCACTGCTGATTGTAGGTGGAACCAAATGGGGAAAAAAAATAAAAATGTTGTCCGCAGGTCTGCTATTGTTGACACAAAGGTAAACCAGCTTTGAGCGTGCCCAAAATGCTTCTGCAGGTATAATGTGCTACTTATCCCATAACCATACAATACTTCCATTATTGCAGCTGATCTGCTATAGAGCAACATTACTGATGCTCATTTTTGTTCTCAGTCTTTGGATAACATCTAGTGTCTTGAATCCGTTTTGCCTTCCCAGTGATAACCTGCATGAATAGCGCCTGGTGCTTTTATCCGTCCACTCAGTTGCCTGGTCACTGCACATCACCTGAGCTTTGGACTCTGGAGTAAATAAAGGGATAAAATGGTCTCCAAACATTATTCGGTGGTCATTAAAGGAGGCATGCACCGTGCATGTGTGTGAAGTGCCAGGTTTAAGGTTCCAAATTTAGCTCTTGATTACAAGAAAGGCAAGATAGTTGAATGAGGTGATGACATGCATGGACACACAGGACACTTGACTGTTCTCTCAGAGGTTGTTGTGTTACTAGAAATAAATGCATGTACATGCACCGGCCACTTTATTAGGTACAACTGCTCATAAAAGCAAATTTCTATTCAGCCAATTACATGACAGCAACTTAATGCATTTAGGCATGTAGACATGGTCAAGACAATCAGAATGGGGAAGAACAGTGATTTAAGTGACTTTAAATGCGGCATGGCTGTTGGTGCCAGATGGGTTGGTTTGAGTATTTCGGAAGCTGATGATCTACTTTGGTTTTCATGCACAACCATCTTTAAGAGAAGGGTCAGAGAAGTGTGATGAGTCTCCATTTCTGTTGCGACATTCGAATTATAGGGTCAGAATTTTAGGTCAACTACATGAAAGCGCTAATCATGAAAGCATGGATTACCGCTGGTAATAGTCAACTTTTATTTATAGTAGTGAACATACTTTTAGTGCTGTGTTGATGAAGAAACAAAATTACATAAAATATAATTATCATCATTAGTTTATATTGTTTATGTTATTTTAGTTTTGGTTGAGCTGTGTGGCCATCGGCTCAAGGCTTACAGGAAATGATTAGAGTTTGAGCGAAACCTTCATGTGACACTGTTTACCTTGACTTGACATAGTGCTTCATTTCCAGTATCCTCTGCAGGCCTGTTCGTGCGATGTCTCATGACTTTGTGAGATGGCAGATTTTCCACTGGCTTCCCGAACTTGTGATAGCTGTAGCTAGAACAACTTAACCATGTGGAAAGACAAAGATGGAACATGTTCAGGGCAGACTGTAAACAAGAACACTACCTGCAGGGGGTTAAGAGCTCCACAATGTTTACAGATGCCATCTCAGAGGCCCATCAGCACATACAGTATGTACGGATGGGCTTTCTACTTTTTGTATCAAGCTTGTGAATTTTACCATGTTTTGAATTTTGTTTTCTGCTGTTAAACGTGCAATCTTGCATTTTAGATTCACGTTAGTGAACAGTTCTTGTTTTCGTGAGCAAAATGTAGCTCACATACACAAGAAAATATACAGGAAGTGCTCAGTTCTTCAAAGAGCAATGCAATCTCACGCCCTCTGGTCATTCTCAGAAGTCTTTCTCCCCGAAAACAGCGGGTAACAGAAAAACAATGGTCAGTTCCTGTGGGCATTCAGCTTTGAAAATAAATACTGTAGTCCGACATGCATTTACATGCAAGTGCGCACATTTGTATTCATTAAGGAAATGCTGGTCTGTGTTGGAATATCAAGCTAATTCCATGCGTGTTCAATAAAAAAAGGTCAGGAGAGGGTTTTCTTCAATGCCAAAATTATTAGTAATTGATTAGATACATTCAGGAGGTTCGCAACTAACATATATTTTCCTGACTCCAGCATTTATACACAACTGATATCAACAGGTGGAGTTTTGGTGTAACATCACTTATCAGTCATTCTGCAGTCCTTTGAGTGTTGCACCCAGACATATTTCCTCTTTTCTGGAATCCTTCTCTGCAAACCAGAACTGAACAATTAAGTGCATCTTCAATATATTTCACAATTTCTAAAAGCATCATGCTCCTTGTGACTTCTTAGTCAGCAGTCTGGAACAAGAGCCCCCGCACTATATTGATTCTTATTCTGCTATTACCCTCTTGTCAGCAGTTCCTTCTAAAAAGTATGCAACACAGTAAAAAAGAAGAAGTATGCCTGGTCAGTATATGGTATCATGCAAAAGAAAAAAAAATTATTAATCTGTTGTTAAACAGTTTTCTAGTAAATAAAGACACAAAAGTAATAAAAATAAATTCATTTTTCTCCACATCTGATAAGCGTTGTGGCAAGAAAGGTGTTCATTATAAAGGAAATACGCTAAGGTGTGAATTTTCTTAGCAATGCTCAGATGTTGTGCTCTTCCTGCTTCTTTTCGTTTTTGGTCTGATAATATTTTGGTAGTAATGTGTCTGTATTTGATTGCCGGGTAGCCTAATAGTTGAATAAACTATAAGTGAAAACATGTCTTGAAACTATGTGAACTGAAAAACTAAATATTAAACAAATATAAAATAGATTTTATTTAATCTAGTTCTGCAAATAATTCTTTAAAACATATAGTTAAATTGTATGTGATAAATAAAAAATATATGTACATATACACCCACCGGCCACTTTTTGATGTACCAACTGCTCGTTAGCTCATCAAATTTCTAATTAGCCAATCACATGACAGCACCTCAATGCATTTAGGCATGTAGACATGATTAAGGCGATCTGCTGCAGCTTAAACAGAGCATCAGAATGGGGAGGAAAGGTGGTTTACGTGACTTTGAATGTGGCATGCCTGTCTGGCATGGAATGTGCAAAACGAGCTGGTTTGATTTATTCAGAAACTGCAGATCAACTGGGATTTTCATGCACAACCATCTCTAGGGTTCATAGAGAATGGTCCGAAAAAGAGAAAATATCCAGTGAGCAGCAGTTCTGTGGGTGCAAATGCGGGAGGTCAGAGGAGAATGGCCAGATTGTTTTAAGCTGATAGAAAAGCAACAGTAACTCAAAGAACCACTCGTTACAACCGAGGTATGCAGAAGAATGCACAAAATGTCCAACCTTGAGGCAGATGGGCTACAGCAGCAGAAGACCACACCGGGTGTCACTTCTGTTAGCTAAGAACAGGAAACTGAGGCTCACAGTTCGCACAGGCTCATCAAAATTGGACAATATAATATTGGAAAAGCGAAGCCTGGTCTGATGAGTCTCGATTTCTGCTGCGACATTCAGATGGTGGGGTCAGAATTTGGTGCCAACAATATGAAGGCATGGTTCCATCCTGCCTTGTATCAATGGTTCAGGCTGCTGGTTGTGGTGTAATGGTGTGGGGAATCATTTCTTGGCACACTTTGGGCTTATTAGTACTAACTGAGAATTGTGTCAACACCAAAGACTACCTGAGTATTGTTGCTGACCATGTCCATCCATGTCATAAAGCCCAAATCATCTCAGACTGGTTTCTTGAACAATGCGTTCACTGTACTCAAATGGCCTCCACGGTTACCAGATCTCAATCCAATAGAGCACCTTTAGGATGTGGTGGAACGGGTGATTTGAATCATGGATGTGCAGCCGACAAATCTGCAGCAATTGTGTGATGCGATAATGTCAATATGGATCAAAATCTCCAAGTATTATTTCCAGTACCTTGTTGAATCTATGCCATAAAGGATTAAGGCAGTTCTGAAGGCAAAACCTAATAAAGTGGCCGGTGAGTGCATTTATGGAAAATCAGAGCAATAGTATCAGGTTGGAGCCTTTATCATCAATCATTGATGCAATGTCAGACACAATGCAATCAATGGAGCGAGTGATGTCACTGTGACGGGTAGGGTTAGGGGTGGGGTTCGGTGAGCACATTAAAAAGCATTGGATGCAGCTCAGATTGCACTGCACCAAGTCTGCATCCAGACCCCTCTCAATCAAAGTTGCTCACAATTCCCTTTTCAGGGTAATACAGAAGCATTCTAGCCACAACATGCAACAATACACAACAGAACCACTAAAAACTTCAAATGAATATCAAATGAAAACAGAAAGAAGAAACTAATTCAAACAAATAATAAAAGCTATATTAAATCAGCATTGTTTCATTGACGATTATCTGTACATTTGAATCATGTTCATAAAAAAATTACATTAAAATAATGTTTTTCAGCTAAGAAGATTTATAGAACTGTATGCTGTGTATAATTTTTCCTAGAATTTACAACATTGTTTGTCTTAGTTTTTTTATGCATGCGGCCCTTGATTCAGCGTGCAACTGAACAGTGCAGGCCACATTTGGAAATGGTGTTCTCTCAAGTTCCAATGGGAGTGCTGAGAAAGAAGCAGCTGTAGAGCTTGTGCAACTCTCTGAACCAATGGAATTCTAAGCAAAGCCAGAAGACATTACTCTTTCTGGGATTTCTTGGAATTCTTTAAGTGCATGATACACAACCACTTATCATCCCTACTGTGAAACTACAGCCTGGGAGACACAGCAGAGCTTAGATAGGTTGAAATTGGTTTTAATGCAGTATTATTCATAAGCTAGGTACATTTTTCCATACTTTACTGAATACATTCATTTTCTTGTCGGCTTAGTCCCTTTATTATTCGAGGTCGCCACAGTGGAATGAACCGCCAACTTATCCAGCACATTTTTTTACCTCAAGGCGCAACCCATCTCTGGGAAACATCCACACATATATTCACACACACATTCATACACTACGGACAATTTAGCCTACCCAAATCACCTGTACCACATGTCTTTGGACTGTGGGGGAAACCGGAGCACCTGGAGGAAACCCACGCGAACGCAGGGAGACGCAGGGAGAACATGCAAACTCCACACAGAAACAACTTGACAACTGAGCCAAGGATCGAACCAGCGACCTTCTTGATGTAAGCCGACAGCACTACCTACTGTGCCACTGCATCGCCACTTTACTGAATACATGTGAAAATGTAAATAAAGTGCCAATGAATTCACACCCTACCAATTTGCAACTCTTAACTAAATTACTGTTGCTTTAAGCAATGGAAAAAAACTCTTTTTCTCTGTGACATTATTTATAGTTTGAAAACAGATTGATGAAGCTACAGAGTTCATTGGCTGATAATGACATAGGGTTGTACTAAGGGAGTTTGTTTGAGAAACAGTTACTCAAGAAGATGTTCAAGCACTGCATGTTGCAATGTGGGAAAAACTGCAAACTGAGGAAAATGTAAAGATGTGTGTGCCAAATTGATATGAGCAG